CCCTCCCCGTGCTCCGTCTGTCCCCTCGGGTGTTGCTGAGCCAGCTGGGTGTGCAGGGAGACTGGCATATGCCTTATGTGCATCTCCACGCTCACGGCTGTAGTTTGCCACGCACCAAGCAGCGATCAGACGGTCCCGCACCGTTTCCCGATCCCTCCCCAGCCCACGGAGCGTTGCTGGCGCACTGCAGCCCCCCGCTCCCCATCCTCCCCGGTCCCGTGTGAGCGCCGTGGGGAGGCTCTGGGGCTGGGCTGTCCTGGCTGCGCGGGAGGGGAGCTGCGGCACCGGCTGTGCGGAGAGTCACTGCTGCTGTCTCTGTTCTTCCCTTCGCAGGTGATCCCTGACTCGGACGCGCACAGAGCTGGGCTGCAGGAAGGGGACCAGGTGCTCTCGGTGAACGACGTGGATTTCCAGGACATTGAGCACAGCAAGGTGAGCGCTCCGGCGGCCCAGCTGCTGGAGCAGGGGCAGGATGGGGAGGCCGTGCACGCACCGTCTTCTTCCGGCCGCTCGGCCTGCACCAACTCAGCTGGCGGCACCACAGAACCGGTGCGTTCCTCTTTCCTGTCCTCCAGCCCAGTCTGGTCACTGAGCAACTCTTTCTGCTTTCAGGCTGTGGAGATCCTGAAGACAGCCCGTGAAATCACCATGCGCGTGCGTTACTTCCCCTACAGTAAGTGCCCGCTAGCTCCGAGTCCAGTCACCTAGCAGCATTTCTCCTTGGGAAGCAGCCTGCCGCGCGTCCCTGCCGATTCCACCTGAGCTTAGCGGTTATGAGTCTAAGGTCACAGACGGTGCTGAGTCAGCAGCCTGCAGATCAGAAAACATTGGCCTTTGATTTGGGGATCAGGACAGCTACCAAATCAAAACAGTAAGGACTGGCTTCAGCTGTCCCCATAGAAAAACCTGTAGAGCGGGGCTTAGCAACACAGCGCTGAAAGCTGGGATGATTGTTGGGTGGAGGTGTTGACTTTAGAGCTGTGGGAGACGCTGCTTATCCTTGAATAACACAGCAATTAGTTCTGTCGCTAGCGGACCTACGCCGATGGTGGATGCTGCTTGTGGTTTTTATCCCTCCGTAAGGACGTTTAAATTCTGAGTGAGGGAAAAGACTGTATTAACACTCGGTTTCTGCACCCATAAAGTTCATAGATATAAGGGGGGGGAAAAAACAGAGGTCAAGTCAAGCCAAACAAGGATTCCTCATAAAATGGCAAGTGACCCTTAAGTGGAGAAAGAAGAAAAATATGGAGCAGGGGAAGAGAGGACTTTGGACAGACTTTTGTTCTAAATGCCCTGAAATAACTTGAAATGACTGGCTGGGGTGTGAATGTGCTATTTTAAAGCCAGCTGCTACCCGAGAGGGTAGCAAACACTGCCTCTGCTTTGTGAGGTATAAACGGAATATATGTTTCCCTTTAACATTTCGGCTAATTCCCCCTTGCCATCAGGGACTG